AGGCAAATATCCATCAGATAGCCGATGAGGAAACTCTAAGGCTTGGGGTGACAGCTGCTGGAAGGCGTTACCCAAATCCAGGTTCACGAACATGTGTTCGGATCTCCAGTATTTGGAATCTACCTTGAATGGTTTGCAAAGAGGTAATTAGTTGCTGCTCAAACTCCCAACTGTTTCACATTGAACCACTGTTTGATGGGAAAGCATGTCTGTCCAAGCTGTGGCAGCAAGATGGTAGGAATGCGCTCATTCATTTCATGCTGAGCTGGGTTTCCCACCTGGAAGCACACCAGGAGATTCTGGTAGCTGTTATGCATCTAGTGAGAGCTCAAACTTGTTCATCAGATGTCAAATGACTAACTTTTTGACACTTAAACATTCAGCCAAATTATACTCCATTCGAGCTCTGCAATTTCACTTTCTTAGGTTTTCTTCCCATGTCTTGCTCTTAATTATTTCTCAATTTTATTGAATAGGTGGTACGTAAGCTTTTGCTGCTAGATACATTGATCCCTTATGAAGCTTGAATGTGGAATCAGAGTCTTTTTCAAAACAAAAGCAGTAAATGTTTCCCCAATTTACAAATGTTATAGAATTGATCACAGGGTAGTTGAAACTACTGACTCACTTACTAAAAATGGCATGAGCCCCTGAATCCCAATACCTTACAAGCAATTATTTAGTGCCAATTATTCTCTTCAGCACAATCATTTTTTAAAGAAAAAAAATGCAAACAAATCCACAAGTTCATAAATAATGTGCTATATGCCAAAGCAGAAAATTTGGGGGCACCAAATAATATTCTGCTATTTTGTGAAATTGTTTCTACTTCTACTAACCCTCAGTATCTCTGGGTTGAAATTACTGAACTTATTTAGCAGTGCAACAAATCCAAATAAATTTCTATTTACAATATGTATGTGAATATGCAAGTCCTCAAGTCTGTCATCAGAAATTCCCTTCCAACTATTTGGGAGAACTACAAATTAAATGTTCATGAATATTAATTGTCCATCATATACTATAGATATTAAAATTCATTTCTGGCCTGGACATATTGTTGTAATATATTCTCTCTGAAGCACTACCTTTCTTATGATATCCTCAGTCACATCATCTAGTCAGCCTTACTTGTGTAGATATTCATCATGCCTGGTCATGACATAGCCCCAATTTCTAAACAATGCTGTTTAATTGGTGGCATTTCTTATCGGTATTCCTTACGACTTCAAATCAGGAAAGAGACGTCTCCTAGCAACCAAAGGTAAATCACCATGACCTAAGGGACACTGACCGATATAACATGATCTACTTCCAGAGCAGAGTTCCTGCATGTCAATGGGAATTGTATCGGGAAAAAACCTGTTTAGCAATTCCAAAAATTGGACCCGAGTAACTGAACCTGAATGATTAACAATTCTACAAGTGATGTCTTCAAGTTAAAGCTGGGGGGGGGGAGGAATCCAGTGCTGAAAGGAACTGATATACATATTTCAGATATATTCATCCAAGTAAGTTATTTTGTATCCTCCTGAATTACATAACTATTGAGGAGCCATTACTAAAATTTGCAAATTCCTTCCAAAAGTAGACATTTTCTATAGGATTTTAAGATATTATTTATCAATTTTGTTACAATTGTCTTTCATTACTAGTTTAAGAATGACACGTTTAAATAACAAGAATGACAGATATATTTGAAGTTTGAAGCTTTACTTTCTTGCTTAAAATGCACAAGGGTATGGATACAGTTCTAACATTTATTTAAAAGGTCATTGTTGGATCATTTAATAATGACCATCTCATTATGTTTGGGTTTTTTTTTCCCCCAATAATTATGTGGCTGACATCCCTCAAGGAAGACTAATTTTATTAACTATGGGAAATATGTTCCAAGCAATCAGATCTTAAAATGGCCTGAATGCTTCAAAGACATTTTGAAAAGAATGATTTAAAAATGGCTTATTTTGCAGCAAAACAAACGATCTAGTATTAAAAGAGGTTTTTGTTTCCTTGAGCTTAATTTCTTTTATATTTTAATATAACTAAATGTAATCAATTTAATAGAATTGATTGCACATCTGAAGCATACTCGCTTACAATTTTAATTCTGCACTATATATTGCATCCAATACAATAAAAATATACCTTATAGTTATCCCACTAAATTGCAATCAAGTTGCTGAAAAACTCAGGTATTTTTGTAGTCTTTTTCATTTCAACATGTATTGTACAGTACATTAGTACAAGCACACTTGTGAGGTCAACCTACTAATGTGGTTAAAATTCCTCAGTCTGTTTGTTGACCTTATTAGTGAGTTGCCACTTTAGTTTTAAAGCTTTCTTTAACAGGAAGCAATTGTTGCGGTTTTTAAAAAACTGCTGCCATCAATGACTTAAGAAATTCACTAATTTACTTTGAAGACAATTTCACAGCAACTAAACCATGAATTTTCTAAGCAAGTTTTGCATTCAATTACTGCATTGAATATTAACCTAATTGAAGAAGGCGATTGCTTTTATATGAATTATTGAGAATCAATTTATGTTGGATTTTGGCATTCTAGAGGCATGCTAAAATGTTATAGGTATTAACAACACTGTGTGATAAGGAAACACTGTCTAGCTATCTACATGTGAGAATAATCATTCAAATCAAATGAAAGCATGGTTTGGTAGGGTACATCATTCAATTCAACATTTAATTCTTCCACACCCTTCATGCATTTACAATGTATCTTACTGTGCTATTCACACAGATATTACTTTTCACGTGTGTCATTTTAAGACACTACATTTAAAATCTGACTTCAGTATTTGGTGTAAGATCAATTAACTACTCTACAAGATAGCATGTTTTAGTACAGTACTTATTTCTACAAAATAATCTGAAATCCACTTATTTTATGATGTTGTGGAGCATCATTCATTCATTCATCTTTTCTACAATAAAGTTGGTTTATGCCAGTATATTTTTATTTTATTAAACAACTGCATCATCTTTAGTGGCATATTGTTTCAAAATAGGACTGTTATTTTCATCACTTTAGAACACAGAATAAATGTTGGGAGAACATGCAGCATCGTATACCAACTCAATAAAAACCTGCTCTGATTATTTCAGTGCAATCACAAGGCTGATAAGGTGTGCATTGACCACCACTCTAAAAGCAGATTTAAGCATAACAAGGGCAGATTTCTCAATCCTTTTTGTGTGTCATTTGTTTCAGCACAAGTAAAATAACATTGTCGGCAAATGATGTCTATCTGATATTGAAAGCTGATCGCTATTTGATCAAGACATAGGTGGACAAGAACAGTCGCAGAAGGTACTCGGCAATGTAAACGTGTTTTATTTTGTCAAACAGAGGCGATCAAATAAAAATTAAATATACGTTCATGTAACTCAAAGAGTGGGGCAAACAAAAGGGTTTCAAGACACCGTATCTAAGCAAACGCGAATTAAAGGGGAATCGCATACGTTTCCCGATAAACGTATTTTTGTTGCAAAAAAAAAGAACAATTGTCAATGAAAAATCGGTTTGGAAAACACTCATTCAAAAGGCGATTTGTTATCTTATAAACCGAAAGCGTTGTATTCAGACGTGGGTCCAATCATTTCAGTAAACACAAAACACATGCTGTGTTGGAACCGGTCAGTGAAGAGTAAAAATACAACTGTTACACGATTCGATAGAGATTGCGGGGAGAGGGGAGGGGAGGGGAGGGCTGCAATACAGAGCTTCAACCTTAGATCGCCGATGGCAACCGAGTAAGAATTTCTGAATGCTTTAGTCGGGGAGGGGGACTGTGCAACCTGGAAAACTTGTGGGTTTTTCTCCCCGTCTTGTCGCTGCATTCATCTATAAAGCAATCTTACGAGGTCGTTAACTGCCACTTAACGACTCGAAGGAGGTTCAGAAATGGGGTGAGCAGAGCAGGACCTGCGTTTGCAGACGTCAGGCAATAGGAAGGGACCGCACCGCTAAGGCAGAACAGAACCGCAGCGACAAATAGTCAAATAAACAGTTCACACTCCTCCCCCTAAAATCGGACATACGTTATAATCAGATTTTCGCTCAATTAGACGAGTTGGGTAAAAGTTCTTCAAGTGCATAAATGATGTGCTCCGTGGCATTGCCCCTGTAACCTTGCATCTCGCAGTAAACATTGTATCCAAAGGTGGTGCCAACCATCTCAGATACAAGTTTCCTTCAATAAACCGAGCGCCACTCACTCACTCCACCACTGACCATCGGGCTAATCGCAATCGGAAACATTTGCAGCGTTTTACCTCCAACCATTGTAGGAAAAGATCGCTGCCTGAACACCACAGTAGCGGGAAAGCATTGAGAAAAGCGAGTCTATTTTAGGATGTACTGTATGCATTGCTTCTACCCCCCCCCCCCCACCCCTCCCCCAAACACCACACCAACAATATTTCCCAATACAATACACGCAACATTCGGGTTCTGCAGCATTTCCGGGTTTCAACCCTGACCACCAGACTGTTATTTTGATATTTACGTCGACAGAGAATCCCAATCGCCACTTTCATTTTTTACCCTCACGCGTTACGTATAGACCTGTAGGCAAACGATTGCATTTTGGTGCCAATAATAATAATAACAAAGAAGAATCTTATATAGAGAAATAAATGTCCAACCACCGCATGCAGCTCTGGATTAAAGCAAAGGCTCTTAAGTTTTGATAAACAAAAAGTGTTAGCATTTCTGTACATACAAAACGTGAATTTTACATGTACAGATATGTCCTGCTTTTTGTTCTTAAAAGTTGTTACACACACACACACACACACACGTTAACGAAGTCCCATTCAGCATTAGGTAACATTTGCACCGATCGTCCTTGCAAATCGGTTTTAAATGAGCTGTGCTCAATTTTTCCCTTGAGGCAAGCCCCTCGCTCGCCTCCCCCTCGGAAAAAAAATAAGACCCTTTTTTTTTATGAATGGAAGCAACGGAATGGCGGAAACTTACTTGGTGTACGAAGACATCCACCGGCGTTTCCAGGGGACTGCCTTCTCGGGAGGTCATAGATATAAATCCGAATCCCATTCTAACGTTGAACCATTTGCAGTGGCCTGCTCCCTGTTGGATCTGAGACTCCTCTTCTCTCTCTGCCAATTTTCCTCTCTCGTCTCCACCACCTTTACTCGCCCCTCCTGGACAATTACACACACACACACACATACACACGGACAGAAACATGTTTCAACTCATCTGATTGTAAAGAGGGGGGGTGGAAATAAAAAAAAGCATCATGAATAGATCGCAAAGTACATTTAAGGGAGTGGGGGGTTGGGGGGGTTGGGGGTTGGGGGAGAGACAAGCAAAAGCACCACTTGGCATTCACACGGATGTATGTATTGGCTGAGGCTGTATGGCAAAGCCATTGTAATATCGATTTTGATCCATGTGCATGCGGGCAGATTTTACTCCATATTTGAGGCAGCAAGTTAGGTTGGCAAACCGGTGTGTAACTGGAACAGGGCTGGTTCACACCCGACCCCATCTCCCCCAACCCGCACCCACCCACCCACCCACCCGCACCCACCCGCCAGGCTTCGCCTTTTATATATCCACCTCTCTCGCAAATCGCGAGCAACGTTCAGCAGCATCGACTGCGAGAGCTCTTTCCTCTCCCCTCTACTCACCCCCTTCCCTTCCCTTCCCTCCCTCCCTCCCTCTCTACCCCCACCCGAAATAGCCGGTTACACTGGAGACATTTACTGTAGCATCCAGCGTGCGCTGATTGTACTTCGGTCAAACTTAAGAGGGCAGGTGTACTGTGCTGCCTCCACGCACCCGAAAGAAAACTGTGCGTAAAAGCGGCCAGAAACGCTCCACACAATAGCCCCCCGAAAAGCTTTTGAAGTTTGTGAATAAAATGGGGAGGGGAGGGCGGGCGGACCGGGTGGGCACGTACATTTTGGGAGATCCACAACAATAGGGGGTTGGGGAGGGAGGGAGGAGGAGGGTGGGGGGTGGTGTGGGTGGAGGAGGTGGGAGGGGGGGGTTGGAAAGCCCCCCACCCACCCACCCACCCCGTGCGATCTGCTGGGGGTTAAAAAGTAGGCAAAGGGAAATTTTTACAAGAAAACAAGAGAAAAAAGTAACCTTCGGCCATGTTGCCACACAGGCCCTATGTCCAGACCGGCCCGATGAGAACTTTTTCCTCGCACTGGGTAACCTTCTGCATCAATCCGGCCTCAGAGGATTCGGCGATCAAAATTTTAGCGCTGGCCAGCGCTCGCATGGTCTAACGTGCTTTTCCTCTTTAGCCCCTTTTTTTTTCCTCCTTTCCTGGCCCTGGCGCACGTGACTCCGTCAATTACATGCTTTCTTGCCGCTAATTACACATCGCAGCCTTCGGAGAGGCAGCGCCGAGCCAATCCCACTCTGCTCCAACCTGTCACCGCACATAATCGATGATTCGGCGGGGAGGGGGGCGGGGGGCGGTGGGGAGGGGGGCGGGGGGGGGGGGGGGGGGGGTGGTGGGGGGGGGAAACCTTCCAGATTTTGTACCCAGCTAATTTGCCCAATTTTTTTTTGGGGGGGGGGTGGAAGGGGGTTGCAGAAATGTTTCACGTCTGCACGTTTAAACACACAAGGTTTGCTCTCCCCCCCCACCCTACCACCCCCACCACCTCACCCACCCCACCATCATCACCACCACCATCATCATCATCACCACCTAACCCCACCTTCTCGTTTGTGTCTTTGGAATAAAACTCCCCCCCCCCTCCTCAATCTCACGGTGTTGAAATAAAAAGTCACGGTTTAAAAAAAATCTTTTTAGGACTGTAAGGATAAGGCATAACGCCTGATCGATAAACTCATTCGCAAGACTCCACACAAATAATGTTACTGTCCGTTAACATTACAGCGGGTGTTTCCGAAAGGCTGGGGAATTGCTCGTTTTTTCCAAAACAAAAGTTTCGAGCAAGCAAGAAATAACAGAGGAAATGGGTAAAATAAAGGGTGATTTGAAGCAAAATAATAAAATGCTCGTATCAGATAGATCTCACAGAATACTGTCTTGTGGTGCCTTTTCACATTAGCGGCACTGTAGCCCTACATGAAAACAGCAACAGCCCCACAAAGCCATTTGATTACTTTATAATTATTTCTTGCACCACAATCGCGGACGGGTGACCTCCCCAGAGCGAGGTCACTCTTATCTGAAATTCAAATTTCTACGTTAACCCATCTCCTTTTAAACAGACAGTACTTGGGGTTTAATAAAACGATGCTCGGGGTTAGCTGTGCTCCATGGAGCAGCTGCCTTTTTAAACAGCTCGCCTCGTTTGACTTTATAACAGTATTTGTGGCTCTGGAGAAGGCAGGTTTTGAATGCACATCATCAGTAAAGATGATTAGTCTTCTCCAACATGCGACTTTCCCCCATTCTTTGTGAAAAGGAAATTCCCCTCCAAAAAGGTTCAAAGGTCAAGCGTTTGCTTCATTGATTCTGTTGTTATTTTGGAATACCTTTACGTTTGGTATTTCCGAGAGAAATGTGAAAAAGGCTCTCTCCGAAGAAGGAAAAGGCAGGTCAGCAAAAAAGTAGTTTGTCACCGATGGGATCTTTCGTGGAAACCACCGATTTCACATCGATTAACACGTATTGTCCATTGCCATGCGTTTTGCTCAGAAAACTGGCCTGACGTGTCGGCGCCAACTAGTCTGACCAATTGTAAGGGGAATTTTGCACTTAAAGGGCTTGTTTACCAATTCGACATCATCGCCTTAAATGAATGTCGAAAAAAATGATATATGCTTTCACACAACATATGAGCTTTTGTCCCTGCAGCGTGGAGTTTAAGTATTGCTTGTGGTGTGAGCGTTTTTTCTAAAAAATAAACTGGGGGTGGAATCCAGTAACTAATGCAGAAGCTCTCAGTCCTGAAATTCCTTTGAAGTCTTCAACCATAAATTTCCTATAGGTTATTTCAACAGAGCGTGAGTTCAGGTCCGATCCCTAAACTGACCTAAGATGGTTGCGTTCATTGGTTCGGATTTTTCTCTCTCTCAGCATTTCCAATACGTTTTTTTTTATCGCTCCGTCGAATTAATTTAAAGCGATCGGTATCTCAAACCTATTGCATAGCACATTTTTTTGCCATTACCTTCTTGAGACAATTTTGTACTAACTGCGTGCAACGAATAGGTGTTTTTTTTAACATCAATTCTAAACACGAGTCTTGCCCGAAAAACTGACGTTGTTTCCCTCGGAAGGCTTTAATAAATAAAACTCGTTAAAAATGTATCACAAATAATATCTATGGCTCTCCCTATAGAAAGGTTCTTCGTTTGCTCCTTCATTACTAATGTAACTAAATGAAACGTCCCGAGTTTTTAATGCAAATCTAAAACAAATGCGGGATATAAAGTGCTAAATTCTTGACATTCTTAAAAGTCTTTCTTTAATGAACACCGTCTCTGTAAGAAGTTGAAAAGTTCCCAGTTTTGCCGATTACCCAATGTTTCCTAAACTCATAAATTAACCTCAATACAAATTGATAAAGTCAGTTGCAAAACTGCATCTGCAATGTACAGAACTGAGGTTTCCCAATTTCCCCTTTAATATTTGATCCGTCAGCTCCGGCACGTAGGAGTGGCTGTTTTGGGCTATTCTCGTATTAGGAAAATTAAGATCGGGTCAGTAGTGGTCACTGGTGTCAGATGTTATCGAGTCTTTCGTTTCCTGTGAGAAGACTATCAGCCTTTCAAGTTATGCAAAGGTATAATCTTTGGTCAACCGGGAGCCCGGCTCCCACCTTCAGCCCATTCAGAAATAATCGCCCAAGTCGTTCTTTTATATGGGGGGGAGGGGAGAATTTATATATGTCCCTTCAACAAAAGATAAGGCAGTTTAGAAATGTTAATGGTTGTAGTAACGTCTCGTGTAGGACATGTCTTTATTTCGGGGGGGGGGGGGAGGGGGCAACGCATTTTTCTGCCAAGTCTTTATTTGAAATGTTTTAGTCGTGCCAAGTATTTAATAATATGTGATGGTGCTCATTGGCAGCTTGCATTTTTTTAAAAAAAAGTACGCTTTACGTTCGAGAGGGGGGGGGGACCCATATGTTAAGAGGTTTGAATGTGCCTTTGACATTATTGGTGGTCAGCAACCGAGCATCGCACTGCTCAAACCCTACTGACGAGGCCTCGGACTCGTGGCCACAAACGCACACAATTTGCCTCAATCGAACTTCATCTGTGGGTACAGACAAACCCCCGATGCGTTTGATCAGCTGCTGTGTAGGTTTTCTTTGCAGTTGCAGATGTGGAGTTCATTCAAAGGGGAGCAAAGGGTTGCCTTTAAAATCTTGTATTTTGACGGCTTAAATTGGGTGTTGATGGAGCGATAAAAAAAAATACGTTGTGCATTGAAACCAAAGAGCTCATTTGCAAAATCTCCTGTGGGAAAGAAAAGGTGGCGTGTAAATTTAGAGTGACAATTGGGTATTATCTCTAATTGGGTTTCCAGGACCTGGGGATGTTTTTTTTAATGATACATCAAGCTGAATGGATATTATTTTCCTGATATTTACACAATGCAATTCCTCAATGTTTTATTGCTCATCTTAATCACACAAACCAGGATTTCTGAAATCCCTTGGAGTCGCTATATTTTATTATATTATTATTATTATTTTGGAATCCCCAATTTGTTTTTATTTTCGCGGTGCGTATGGCAAAACGAATTTCGAAAAGAAAAAAATCCCCAAAGTGTTTCCATTTGTTGGAGCAACGCTGAAAAATACATTAAAGGCAAACGATTTCACATATCGAACATCAAATAATACTTAAAACGACAACATTAGTGATCAGGAAATGACTTTGCTGACTATTGAAATGGATTAATTTACAAAACTCAATGTGTGGGGTTAACTGGGGAGGGTCAACCACTGGATAGTTGGATACTTGATCAGAGTTATTAATTAGATAAGAACGAGCCTTTTGTAATAATAATAATAATAATAACCCCAGGAACAAAACCTGCTGATTTGTGATAAGCAGAGCACTGTGTCGTTGTTTTGTTTCTCTTTATTCCCTCTCTCTCTCTCTCTCACCTCTCTCTCCTCCCTCCCAAATAAAAGCAACGAGAAGGTTGACTCATGACGCTTTTTTTTCTCTTCCCCTTTTTTGCTCTTCT